GTCTCCTACCATCCCATCTCTCTAGCTCCTTCTTTCTTTTTTATTTTTAATTAAAAAAATTTTATTGAGCTTTTTAAATTTCATACATTTCCCACTCAAATCCAGACCCCCTACCCCACCCATGCCTCCCCCTATCCCCCCACCAAACCCTATGCACTCTGTCATACATGCTGAGTCCTACTCATTCCGGTGTTTATACTCAAATGTCTTTCAGTGTAAATGTGTGCCCTAGAGTCTAGTCAGCCCATCCAGTGGTCGTATGTAAGTCATACTCTCCCTCACCCAGCAACAATCAGTCTCAAATACTTCTCAATCTAGTGCTGGCCCACCACCTATTCTCACCTCCCTTTTGGTCCCTTGTTTAATTTGGCTAACATGGGTCCCTTGCTTGACACCGCTGCTGCCACAGGCTCACATGAGCAAGCCTCCAGGGGCCTGGAGGCCTCCTCCTCTGTGTTCATGAACCAGCCCTGGCTCTTAGAATCGTTCTGCCTCCTTTTCCACAATGGTCCCTGAGCCATGGGTGGGTGAGGTTCCATATAGGAGTCCCATCCTACATTCTATAGTCTCTAACTCTCCAAAACCTGGCCAGATGTGGCCTTCTGTGTACATTGCACTCTGATGTACATGGAAGCCTCACTGGTGAGAGTTGAGGGGTGCATTATCCCTCTCTCTACTCCTTATTCTGCTGTGTTCCATGAGCCATAGTTGTGGAAATTTGACTGCAGATGTGTCACCTAGTACTAGGCATCTCCCAGACGTATGTTCTCTGTGCCTGACCAGATGTGTAACTCTGCAGTAGCCTCCATCTGTTGCAAAAAAAAAAAAAAAAAGCTTCTTTGATGAGTGCTGTGCAGCATGCTTGTCACTCTAAGGGAGGTCTCTTGTGTCTGGCGCTGCATTCCCTGCCAACCATCTCCCAAGTATACATATGCACTAATGTTCAAACACTATGCGCATTTCTTATAGGGTTACTAGAGCATCATCTCTTTTCTCCTAGGTTTCCTAGCCCCCTGAGATTTACTTATCGCCACTCTTTTTTCTCCCATTTGGCCTCCTTCCTCCCTCCCTTCCTAGTCAAAGTGCCCCCATTATCCCCACCCTCCCCCAGTACCTCCTGACTCCCACCATCTTTCCTCTCCTGACTTCCCTCCCTCCCCTACACCATGGTCCCATGCATGTCCCTCCTTCCTCTCCTCCCTGCCAATTACTACCAGTTTTTCCACCTCCCCCAGGTAACATCTGTTCCCTACTATCCCCCTTTCAAGTTGTTTCTTGTCCTTTACCTCCATGTATCTTTTCCCTTTCCCTGGCTCTGGTGCTACTCCAAATTTATATACTCCCATATAAGGGATTGGTGCTACAATCCACAAGTGAGGAAGAACATATGTCACTTGCTTTTCTGCGCTTGTGTTACTTCACTTAGTATAACACTCTTTAGCTCCATCTGTTTACCTGCAAATTTCATAATTTCATCTTTTCTTACTGCTGAGTAGAACTCCACTAACCATTCATCAGCTGAGGGACATTTAGACTGTTTCCATTTCTTAGCTATTGTGAAGAGTGCAGCAACAAACATGGATGTACAGGTATCTCTACAGTACGATGAGTCCTTTAGGTACATGCCAAGGAGTGGTATCACTGGATCATATGGTAGGTTCATTTTAGTTTTTTGAGGGTTCTCCACACTGCTTTCTGTAATGGTTGCATGAGTTTGCATTCCCACCAGCAGTGAATGAGCATTCTTCTTTCTCCACATCCTCTTCAGAATTTGGAGTCTTTCATTCTCTTAATCTTTGCCAATCTGACAGGGGTAAGATGGAATCTTAAAGTGATTTTTATCTGCATTTCTCTAATTATTAAGGATGCTGAGCATCTTTTAAGGTGCTCCTTAACCATTTTTATTTCTTCATTTAGAGTTTAGACCTAAACTCTGCTTAGTTCTATTGCCCATCTTTTTATCGGGTCATTTATCTTCTTCTTTCTTTCTTTTTTGAGTTCTTTGTATATTCTGGATATTAATCCTCTGTTTGATGTGTAGCTGGTGAAGATTTTCTCCCACTCAATATGTTTCCTCTTCCCTTCCTCAGTTGTTTCTTTCATTATACAGAACTTTGTAATTTAATAAGGCCCACTTACTGATTGCTGACCTTAGTGCCTGAGAAGCTGGTGTTTGATTTAGAAAGTCCTTTCCTATGCCTATATTTGGAGGGTGTTGTTTATGTTTTCTTCTAGCAGTTTCTGAGTTACAAGTTTTATATTGTGGCCTTTGATCCATTTGGAATTGATTTTTGTGCAGGGTGAAAGATAAGGCTCAAGTTTCATTTTTCTGCAGGCAGAGATCCAACTTTTGCCAGCATCATTTGTTGAAGATTCTCTCTTTCCTCCATTGTGTGTTCTTAGCACTTTTGTCAAATATCAGGTGTCTGAAATTACATAAACTCATGTTTGGGTCTTCTATTGTGTTCCACTGATCCATGTGTCTATTTTTGTGCCAGTATCATGCTGTTTTTATGACTATAGCTCTGTAATAGAATCTGAGATCTGGTATGGTAATTTCCCCCAGCATTGCTGTTTTTGCCCAAGATTGTTTTGGCTATCTGAAGTCTTTTGTGATTCCATATGAATTTTAGAATGATTTTGTCAAGCTCAGTGAAGAATGTCTTGACCTAGATTTTAAACTTGTCTCACATTCTCACCTTTTAATATTTACACAGGCCTCCATACTACTGCATGTCCTAGAAGGACGTGGTGTCATAGTTTCCCTGTAGTGAGGTTCTGACATCTTAGAAACTAAAGCACATCATAAGGAAATAAAATTTTGTTACGTGAAGGTAGTTCTACCCAGGTACTAGAGTATTATCTATTTTTTAATTTAGGTTTTTATCTTTTTGAGGATTTCGTATGTGATTCCTGTATTTACATTATTTCTACCCCTTTCTTTCTCCTCCCAAATCACCCCCCAATTCCTTCTCAATTTCCTGTCCCCTTCTTTAATTACTGCTGTATATTCATATATGTGTATATAGAAACAACCTACTGAGTCCATTTAGTGGTGCTAGTGTGTACATGTGTTTACAGCCATGAAATCTCAATAATATGGTTGCCTAAACAAGACCTGCCTAATGACAATACCAGGTAATGTGGGGGGGGGTCACAAGGTTCTACCTCTAGATGAAAATGGATGAGAGGGGAAGGATCAGTTTCCTACAGAGATGAGCTCCTTGACAGATTATCCAGTCCCAAGGGGAGTATTACCTATTTTTTTAAGAATATACTTATCCTAAAAAGAGTGTTAAACCTCATTTTCAAAACTAAGCACAAACTTGGAAATTGATATGATTTAGGTAACAACCTAATTAGGAAAATTTGTCTTTGATAACTTTTCATCCAGTGCCCTGTGTTCATATTTCTACCTTGGCAGAGCCCATTATTCAAGGCCTCAAGGCTAAGTTTTCTCTGTCTTATGCAAAGGATTTACATGAAATGAAATCAAACTACTTTACATAAGATAATGTCTTATCTCTAAGTCAACATTAGGAAAAGCTAAATCCTGACAACCTGAACAAACAGAGCCAAATAAAGTGAGAAAATTTAATAAGAGTAATGTGTAATTGTATACTAGGGATTAAAATTCTTACTGGAAAATAAAAGTTAAAAAAAAAAAACTCTGGCTTTACAAGAACTCACATTAAAGTTTTGGTTGAAATTTTTAATTAACAATAAGGGCACTGAGAATCAATAAAGAGCTTCTGAAAAATTAATGCATTATTGGGTTGAACCAAAAACACTACAACCATTCCAAAGAGATGACCCCATCTCATTCAAGGCTGTCCAGGCTTTCTCTGGAACTTTTTGTTTTGGGGTGATATTTCAAAGTATAATGCTAGAATGTGGGAAATACTTAGCTCTATGTCACAAGAAGGATAGTAATGAACTTGGAGCTGTCATGTGGAAAAGTTTTAAGCCTACTCCACAGGGTTTTCAAATGTGGCAAGAATCCTCCTCACGCTTCAGAAGTAATCACCTCCTCAGGGAAGCTTCCCAGACAGTGGCTCTGGCTTCCCTTTTCATTCTCCTGTATTAGGCTACAAATCCTATTTCTAATTGTTTGTCAAAATCAATTTAGTCTTGTGTCTCAGTCCATCTAGGTTTCTTAGATTGGGTGGCTGATAAGCAATGGAAATTTAAACCTCACAGTTCTGAAGGCTGCAAGTTCAAGAATAAGGTACTGGCAGATCTGCAGTCATGGATTCACTTCCTGGTGAGGAACGTGTAGTCATGGACTCACTTCCTGGTGTAGGGATGGTACCTTTTCTCTTTAACCTATCTTGCTCTTTTTTATAAAGACGTTAATCTCAATCACAGGGTCTCTGCTCTCATGACCTATCCCCCTTCCAAAGTCTCCTTCTACCAATACCATCCTCTTGAGGAGTCATGATTCAGTATTAATTTGGACTAGACACAACATTCATCCTACTAAACTGGAAGTTACCAAACAAGACAGACCTTACTTGATTTGTCAGTCCCAGAGCTTCATTCTTAGCTCAGATGACTGAATGGGCATAAACATGAGAAAACACGAAAACAGTGAAGACACTTTAAAATGCAGTGGCTGTGAGATTTATGGTCAGCCTTAAGAAGCCACATTTTTGCTTTCACAGGGGCCCTGACTTGGGGTTAAATAGCAGGGCAGTTGAGGGGATTAAAGTGCTGATGTAAAAGATTCTTAGACTCTTTGTGAACCCAGGACCTATGACTTGAATTTTTCTGAGAAAGATTAAGTTATGACAATATAGACTTCGTTTTATCACAAGTCAATTCTGAGCCACTCTGGAAGAGTTAAAAACACATTTTAATGATCAATTCCATTCAAACCCAAATTTTCTTTGATGTTTCTCCCTATCTTTTCTATCTCCTTCTCTTCTTACTTCTCAAAGCTGATGGATAATTTTTCCACTTCCTTGTCAGGATGCATCTGACTTCAGTAAACACAGCAGTAGACAGTGAGGTGAGGTCAGACTCAGAGAAAAGTAGTTCTGAGATTCTTAGGATCAACTGTGCCAAAAGCAAATGGAGATGCGATTAATGATGCAAAGTCATTACCTCTCCTTTCCCTTTTTGCTGGTTCAATTTTTTTTACAAGGGCCCAATTTTCCATAGAAACAGATTTACAACAAATACAAAGATTTCATCTTTTATTTATAAGGCAAAAATCTACCCAAACATTTTTCATTAAAATAGTGTGCCCTATTGTACTGGCTTTCAGGGTATCAGCCAAGCATTATATAACTTTTGTTATTCTGGTGGGAACTAATAAGCTAAGACTGTGTAGAACAATGTCCTCAGAAGTTACAGAAACTATCAGGTCTGACACTGATTACTGAATTCTAGTTGCTGATGAAGATTTGGGGGAAACTGAAATATTGAACTGCTACAAATGCCTATCCTCTTCCTGTTCTCTGCCTTCCTTCTGGGGAACATTTCTTATGAAAGTATCCCCCATTCCTGAATTAATTCATAGACAATTATGAAATTAGAAAAACAGTGTTATTAACTAATATTGGAAACAGAAATATGTGACTTCTTTATTTTGATTTACATTATACAACGTGAGAAGATTTTTGAAAAACTAAATGGGCAGATAGGATAGGGTGAAGGAATAGCAGAGTTGGTGAGGGAGCTGGCAACTGATACCCAAAAAGGAGAACAGGGCTGCTGGGACTGCACCACACACCAGGCAAAGTGGTAGATGGAGGCCCATGCACAGCAAGACCAGGACTCTTCCATGTATACCAATGAAGATCATTTCTATGACTTTTAAAGGTGTGCCTGCCTCCAGAAAATGACATTGGTGCAGTAGCGGCACTTTTATGTTAGGGCTAATCAACAGCTATCTAATTGTTCTTAAACCCCACTCAACGGGAGGAAACCCATGTGTGGTACTGTAAACCTAGCCAGATGCACATAAATGGAGAGGTCACAGATCTTAAATAAAACCCCAAGGCTGTCACATACCCAGACAAATTTAATTTCTTACTATGTACAAAATACGATTCTTAAATTTACAGAAAAGTATCCCAGTCACCACTCATTAAAAATACTTCTTTTTCAACAGACAGATATTATTACAGAATTACACAACTGATCACACACAGAGATTGTCTCTGAATTGCCCAAACCTAAGTAGCACACCTAGAATACAACCTCTATATCTACAGCTCACAGAACATAGAATAAAGGATGAAGAGAACACTAATGCATCTTTCAATTCTCATCAATGAGACTCCCTCATGCAATAGAGGGCCAGGAACACAAAAGGTCACAATGGCCAAAGCACAGAGAATAAGAGTCTCCAGAATATGGGTCTTTGGACAGGACTCCTATATTAAAATACACCCACCCAGGGTTCAGGAACGATTGCTTCTGTACATCAAAAGAAGCAACCAAGTGAAAAGAAAACCCACAGAGTGGGAGAAAATCTTCACCAGTGATACATCTGATAGAGGTTTAACATCCAGAATATAAAAAGAACTCAAAAAACAAAGAATCAAGAAAGCAAGTAACCCAATTTAAAGATGGGCTAAGGATCTGAACAGAGAGTTCTCAAAAGAAAAAATAAAGACAGCTAAGAAGTATCTTAGAAGGTGTTCAACATCATTAGTAATTAGAGAAATGCAAATTAAAACCACTTTAAGATTTCTTCTTACCCCAGTCAGACTGGCTAAGATCAAGAGAACAAATGATACCAATGTTGGAGAGGATGTGGGGAAAGGGGAACACTCATCCACTGCTGGTGGGACTGCAAACTTTTGCAACCACTATGGAAAGCAGTGTGGAGAACCCTTAAAAAACTAAAATTGAACCTACTATTTGACCCAGTTATACCACTCCTTGGCATATACCCAAAGGACTCATCCTATTGCAGAGACACTTGTACATCCATTTTTATTGCTGCTCTTTTCACAATAACTAAGAGATGGAAGCAACCTACATGTCCCTCAACTGACAAGTAGATAAAGAAAATGTGGTACACAATGGAGTTCACTTAGCAGTGAAGAAAGATTAAATCATGAAATGTGCAGGTAAAGGGACAGACTAAAAACTGTCATACTAAATAAAGTAACACAGACTCAGAAAAACAAACAACATATGTTCTCCCTTATAAGTAGATCCTAGCACCAAATCCTTGAGCACCAAATCCTTATAATCCTTATATGCCTCCCAGGCATAACTATAGGAACCAGGATAATGAAAAGGAACCAAGGAGATAAAGGAAACAAAAGAACCTGAGAGAGAAGAACAGTAGGAAACAGGCATTACTAAGGGAGAAATGGATAAAAATGGGGTTCTTTAACTGGGAGGGGGAAGGGAGGGTTACACAAGGAACCTTGAGGATAAAGGGAAAGAAGGAGCTCAAGAGAGGTGGGACCATATGTGACAGGTATTATCAAGGGAGAGATGGGGAAAATGGGGGCACTTTAAATGGGGAAAGCCCATTATGGAGAGTTAGACAGTAAGAGAGATAAATAATACCTAGCAAGTTTTTAAAAAGCAGAGGGAACCATATTAGTCCAACAACCTACTGACAAATTATACATACATTATCTCTGCATGTGTCCATGTATATAGCTCAAGGCTACATAACAAAAAAAAGTGCCAGACAGGAGAAACCATCCTTTGAGTTGTTGGCCAGGGTAGTCCAAGAGACTCCCAAAATCACACAGGCCATTGCCACAACCTTTGATTGCTTCCCAGAACTTGAAGGTAAGACCCTATTGTTGAAGACAACATACTTTGGACACAGAATCTGGAGCAATGGAGCTAGAAATGACCTAGAGGCCACTTCCCCTGAAGGCTAGCTCTCATAGCTTTGGACAGCACTATGAAGGTGCCAAGGGAAAACATCAATGGATGATCCAACACCAGCTTCAAGACCAAATAACCACATCAATGGCCAGCACAGCACACGTCATTGGTGCAGTAGTGGCACTCTTATACTGGGGGCAATCAACAGCTACCTAATTTGATTAAATGCCCACTCAAAGGGGAACACTCAAGTGTGGTACTGTAAACATAACCTAATACACATGGCTGGAGTGGCCATAGATCTTAGAGAAAACCCCAAGACTGTCACATTGCTAAACTCATGTGATTACTTACTATGTGAAAAATATGTATCTTTATATTTACAGACAATATCCCAGTTACCACTCATCAAAGAATCTCATTTTGCACCAGTCAGAGGCTGTTTGCTTGCTTTTACACTGCTGGGAATAAAATCCACAGCCAGGTAAGGGTTCTATTACTGAGCTACACCCCCAGGCCTCTTCCACTTTCAAGGCAGAAGCCCTTTTCACAGGGCTTTGGGTTATGGTTATTTGAATCAATACAATTTTTTCAAGTTAAATAAATCACACAAGTTGATTCCTCTTTAAGTATCTCTTTCTATCACCACCCAATACTCACTGATGCCAGTGTCTTTACAGTACTGGACCAAGTACTGTCCCATGACTTTTAGTAGATGATTATATTCTCGAACATTAAGGAATTCTTGTTTATTATGGGATGGCTCCATAATCTCTAAGGGTATGTTCACAATTCCAATCACACCTGCACCAAGTCTGAAAGAAAAAGCGCATATATGAATTTTGTAAAATCTGGATAAAGAGAAAAGAAAAAAAAAACCAAACCTATACTGGTAATCTGCAATAAAATTTTTCAAAAATTAATGCACTGTCTTTGTGTGGATCATGTCAGAGCTATCAAGTTAACTTGAACATATGTTATCATAATTCCATGATGATTTCTGTTATGTTCATTCTATCTCACAAAACCCCCTCAGCATCTCTTTGCTCCATTAATAATATTAAATAATACTCTTTCTAAATTTGTTGCCTACATGGGCAGTCAAGATTGGTGGAAAGGAGAAGTCTTTAAGCACAAACACCAGTGACAGCACCTTCCTGCAGTGACCTGACATGGTCCTCTTAATACTGATACTGGCTGGAGAAAATCATTTTCTTTGTCCCCATTTCATTGGTCAGGGTGGGTTTTTCCTCATTACAGAGGTTTTGGGTGCATCATGAGATCTACCAAGGTAATATAACAGTCTCATATCCCAGGGGATGACCACAGGTATTTGACTGTTAATCTAATGGACAAAAGTTTTTGATCCTTTTTTCTAGTGGCACACAATGTACATATACCCAGGATAATCTGCTTGCTGACATCATCAAACTTAGGGAAAACACATCCTGAGTTCTCACAGATGAGAGGTTCCCCACTGTCCTGGCCACAACACTTATATTACACCTTCCCAAACTGAGGCCTCTGCCGGTTTTGTTTTTCACAACTTTTTTCTTCTTCCCTGTCCTCCCGACACTACTAATTCTGTAAGTCTGAATTTGTGCACTACTTTTTCCAAAAAGTCTGATATGACTTCCTTCAGTTTGGTTTACTACATTCCAACACAATGTGCATTCATTCATTTATTCAATTATCCAGTTACTCATTTATTCACAATAAGCACCTGACCATGTTGCAGAAACTAGAAACTTGGACATGAACACAAAAGACACGGTCCCTGGTTCTCTTTCACTGAAGGGTGATAAGCTTGATAGTAATAGGCAGGCAAATGTCCAAGATAAATTTAAAAGGTGACACATGGTTTTAGGAAACAGGGTAGATACTACATTATGTGAAAAGTGACAGATGAGTGGGACAGCAGGGCTCAATTTTAATTAGGCAAGGAAAGGGATTTAGAACTCATGCCTGAATAGCATGCCAAGGCCAACAGTCAGGAGATTTGAGGATAGAAGGTTTGAAATCAAGCTCTAGGCTAACTACTGTGGGATTTTAAACAAAGGAGTCAACAAATTTATGTAATTCATTCTTCAATTGGGAAAAGAAGAACCCAAATTATCCCTATTTGCCGATGACATAATTCTGTACTTAAAAGACCCTTAAGATTCTACCAGAAAACTCTTAGATCTCATAAATACTTGCATCAATGTAGTATGATACAAAATCCACATGCAAAGCTCAGTAGTTTTTCTTTTTTCTTTTCAACACTTTTATTAGCAAATATTAATTATTCATGAAAATTAGTATATTTTCTATATATCAATAATGAAAAAATTCAAGATAACTAAAAAAATTGATAAAATAAACCTAACCAAGGAGATAAAAGATCTCTATGATGAAATCATTAAAACACCAAAGAAACTGATGAGATTAGAAGATGAAAAATCTTCCCATGTTCATGGATAAGGATAATTGTTGTGAGAATGACTATCTTGCCAAGAGCAATCTGCAGATTTAGTAAATCCCCATCAAAATTCCAATGAAATGTCTCATCAAACAAGAGAAAAAAAACCCTAAAATTGATATGGAAGCACGAAAATCCCCAAATAACTCAAGTAATCCTTAGCAGAAAGGGCAATGCAGGAGGTATCACAATGCTGGAAGTATTACAGAACCACAAGTAGCAAAAACAGACTGGTGCCAACACAAAACCAGACCTGCAGAGCAATGCAATTAAGTGGAGGACCCAGAAATAACCCCACACAAGCACAGCACCAAAACTTTGTAAAGCTTTACATTGCAGAAAAGGCAGACTCTTTAATAAAATAGTGCTCAGAAAATTGGATTTTCACATGTAGAAGAACGAAAGTAGCTCCACATGCCCTATCCCGTGCAAAAATCAATTGAAAATGAATCTTAACATAAAACTGAAACTTTGAAACTATTAGAGGAAATGACTGGGGAAAACACTCAAAATATAAGTTTAGGCATAGATTTTTCTGAGTATGGTTCTAACAGTACAGGAAATAATCCCAAGAATATTATGACAAAGAGATTATATAAAATTGAAAAGCTTCTGCACAGCAAAGGATCAACCACCAGAGTAAAGAGATTCCCTGCATAATGGGGAAAAAAAATTCTTTGCCAGCCATGGATCAGTCAGGGAATTAATACATAAGGTACATAAAGAACTGCAAAATTAAAACCAATAAAACCAATAACTCAGTTAATGATCTTAAAAGAAAGTTCTCAAAAAGAATCAATGCAAATGACCAATAAATACTTGGAAGTGTTCAACATGGTTAATCATCAGGGAAATACAAATGAAAACTGTTTTGAGATTTCATCTCACCCAAGTCAGAATGGCTATCAAGAAAACAGACAACAAATGCTGATGAGGATGCAGACCAAGAACTCTGTTCCCTGCTGTAGGAATGTAAACTTGGGCAATCACAATGGAAATCGGTATAGAGGCTCCTCAGAGAACTGAAAACAGAATTACCACATGATCCAGCTCTGACTCTTGGGCATATACCTAAAAGTTTCTAGGTCAGTTGCCACAAAGATGCTTACACATGTTTATTGTTACACTATTCATAATAGCCATGAAATGGCATCAGCCTAGCTGTCCATCAATAGATGAATGAATAAAGAAAGTGTGGTACGCAGATGCAATGGAATTTTATTCAGCCAAAGGGAAAAAGAAAAATATGGCATTGAAAGGAATATTGGTGTACTCCAAAATCATTATGTTAAGAGAAATAAACCAGACTCAGAAAGACAAATACCATCTGTTTTCTTTCATATGTAGATACTAAATTTAAAATTAGATATATGAGGATATATGTGTGTGCATTTGTAGGTCACAGAACTAGAAAAAGGATCATGAGAGAAGCAGACGAGATCTTAAAGGAAGACAGGGCAGCAGAATAAATAAGAAAGCTAAAAAAGGGATGCATGTTGGGAGGGGGCAAGGAAGAAAGGGAACTAGCTGGAGGGTGAGGAGCCATAAGGGAGACACTGGGGAAGGGGTGTGAATGAGAACAAAGTACAATGATACGGATGCATGAAGACACCATGATGAAACCCATTACTGTGCATGCTAAACTTAAAAATAATAAATACTGTTCCTGCCGTTTGCACACAATATTAAAGTACACTCATGTGTTCCTTAGCAAAAGACCATAGTTGGCGTTTTCTGTCTTCAAAGCATAGTATATAATTCCTGGCATAAAATGCCACAATAAAACTGACTTTGTGTGAACAACGAATAAAGAGAGTGAGGAAGCAAGGTGAGCAGAGCTCCCAGCATCACTCTACCACTCAGCCATCTTGTTTGCTCTGCCCTTTCTGTGTCATTTCTGTAGAAAGCTGCACAACTGTCAAAGCTTGTGGAACTTTAGATCTTTGGGAAAGCACCAGGGCACATTATTCCAGATCCAAACAGACTAGAGCTGTTTAATTCTACACACTCACTCACGTAAACGTCATGACAGGAGCCTTAAAACAAGTCAACCTGGTCTCCTTCCACGATCAGGGGTTTTACTTTTCTTTTCCTTTTTAAAATTTCTTTAATGCGCTTATATCATTTTTTAACTGGTAAAATATTAAAAGCTAAAGAGATGGCACAAGAAATGGTAAAACATCAGGAAGTGTATTGGAAAAAGTCTTTTTCCTTAAATGTGATTTTTCTTCTGAGAGCCAGCACATAGCCTCATAATATTATAAATTAGGCAGATTAATGCCCACATGCTGAGAGGAAGTGGGCAGAGGTGACACCTGTTCACATTATGATGGATCATTCATGTCACTCCATAGACAGAATCTGCTAGATCCTCCCCTTCCTGCCTGTGCACCTGGAAACACAGCGTACTTACAGGGACTTCACTTTCAGCTGCGGGCCGACCTTCTGATGCATTTTGATCAACCGGTTATTACTGTAAATGAACATTCCATCTTGGCTTCGGTGTTCTATGTTCACTCCAAAGAATAGAGAGAGTGTTCTTGCTTTTTTTAATTCTCTAGGATTATATTTAGAAAAGTAATTTTGAAACATTTTATTAAGTAAAAACAAAATTTACAGAACTTCTAATAATTAAATTCAGAAGGTAAAGATCAAAGGTATTATAGATAACATACCCAGATATTTCAAAAAAATCTGGTGGGTGTTCAGTACAGCCAATTATTCTGAATAATTGCAATGCAAATAACTATATTGACAAGCACAGCATTCATTCATTCAAAAAACAAAACCTGCCCACTTAAATTTACAAGAACCAGAAAGAGCTTTGAAATGTTAACAGGTTTAATACATATATTACAATATTGTTGAAAAACGATAAACTGAGCCAAAAAGGTAGTCTTAGCTTTCTCTCTAACATTTCCTAAAACTCAAAAATAAATAAAAGCTAATAAAGTCAATTTACATGCGTAACAGACAAGGCCTCCTGTTTTCCTGTATGTAAAACATTAGAACAGAAATTGAGAACTTGCAGACTGATACTGACAACCACAGCATCAGGAGGCTGCTGGGGCTGTGGGGAGCACCTGGATGTGAGAGACAGACTTGGCTCCAAATATATGCTCATCTTTACGGTATCTGGGAAACACACATGAACTACTTGAATACTGTGTCTCACCTGAAATGTGGGAGAAATGTCTACCTAGTCACATGGGATGTGGTGAGGACTAAGAGATCATTATAGATATAAACTTGGAACAGATTAGATGCATAACAAATGTTATTTCCTTTCCCAATCTAGAATGACAGCAAATAGGAGTCTTCCCTTGTACTCATAGTGTAACACACACACACACATACACACACACACACACACACACACACACACACTCACATCTCTACACTGTGATATTACAACTAATGGAAACATACTTACTGAGCTGACTGACTGCACCTGATGCTAAAGAACAGTGATACAGTGCTAGGGGTCTTTCCCCCATGCATATGATACACAGAGTACATCAGATTTTTTGAGACATGGTTAACCTGTTGCATGGGTTAATGGATTATGTATTATTAAATGCATACACATCTAAGATCATATATGGATCAATACTGTTTATCCAACTATGAAATCTCAGTTCTTCAACAAACAAGAGAACTGAGTGTGTAAAGGATTTGCAGATAGGGCATTAAAAAATATCACATCATTGCTCTGGTAAGAGACATACTGACTGTCTTCAAATTTAAAAAAGAAGGCACAGTTTCTTCTTATGTCATTACTTTGTTTTCTAACTTTAAAAATAATAAAATTAATGTTTCCTATTAAAAATTCAAGGCAATTGCCATCAATGGCTATGTACAGATTAATTTTTATATATTATACTATGATTAGAAACATTATCAACAAAGTTCTTTCTGAAAATGAAAGAAGTTTGAGTTTTCAATGGAAATTTCTATGAAATTTAAATAATTTTGGTAAATGCATTAGTAGCATCTCAAATTTACTTATTTTGATAAGTGCAAAACTAACAGCTTAAAGTTAAGTTTTGAGGAAACTTATAATTACTTTGCCTATATGACACCAAAAATAATGTTGAAAACTAATTGCCATTGAAAAAAAGTTTCTCAAAGATGTCAACAATTTTCATTCTGACTTTACTTGTTCAACAATCATTTTCTATTTAACTTGTTTAGCATCTAAGCTGGAGAACAAGTCAAAATTATAACTGTAAATATTTATTTTTAAGACAGCTTTGCTGTTTTAATTATACAAATGTCATGTTCCCTTCAAACATTGTTTCTTAACTTAAATTTTAATCTTCAGCTTAAATGACAAAAGGATGGCAAAGCTGTCAGCTGATCTCCTGCTCATATTTCTTCATCCAGCCATCTTCAAAAAGGCTTGACTAAACTCTGAGGTAATATCTGACTTGTATTCAACATTACATAGGCATATATGTACTCAAACCAATAAAAACTTCATCAATATTTTATAGTGTGTCTTGGTTGGGGAACCTTGCTCTCATTAAGAGTTAATATCATAATATATTATATGCTAAAAAAGAAATTGTCATAATAACTAAAAAAAATCTGCCCTCTTAGAAATCGGAACATAACATAGTTAAGTTCTGGGATCCTCATAGACAGAACACCTTACCTCTGCTTCTCTAGAAGATTTTTATGTTTTGCTTCCACATCTTCCAGAGCTTTCTGCAATACATCCTGGAGAAGTACATTTAGTTGGAAAGAAACACAAGGACATTGGATTAATGACAGATGAGTTGACACCCTATTGTCCCATGTTTCAAAGGTAACAGCTCACATATGATGCACATGGGAGAAAAACAGCAGATACATGAAAACTGGTTAAGTTCCAATAGTCAAGAAGATAAACTCTACCATTGTCTGTTCACACACTCTGTATATAAAGGATGCCCTCTCTGCCTTCCTTTTACTCACTATAATGACAGAAGGGCTTTAACATAAACTATATAAAAGCCTGAGTGAGTTATTCAGTATGCCTAGGCCCCTACTTGGCTGAGTGAACAGGAATGTACAATTATGTCATTACCAAAGCACATTTCAGAAAAAAAAATTGGTCATAAATTTTGTTAGTAGCCAAGAGAAAATCCCTTCTTATCAAGTTCCTGATGCCTTGAACTAACACTTTCCAACTGCTCTCTTTACAGGTTACCCAAGCTTCTTCCTGCCCAGAGTGCTCCAAAGTCAGCCCTCAGTACGTCTTTTTATTTAATACACTGGTTCACTCCCTCCCATATCTCTAGTACATTCTCTCTAACCTGGCTGAAAAGGAAAAATCCACCAGTACTGTTGTCATACTGTTATCAACAGACTTTTATAGCGACTAGTGAGGAGGAGGATCAGTAGGAGGGGGATGGGGACAGAGAGAGTAGTTGGGGTATGCATTACATGCATGTATGAAAATGTCATAATGAGACCCATTATTCTCTATAATATATGCTAATATTTTTTAATAATAGACATTTAAAGAGTTCCATCCACCATGTGTGAAAGGTGGCATCTCTTCTGATGAGTGCATCACTGATAGAACAATATTTCCACTGTCTTTCAAGTTAAAAACGTGTGGCGGGAGGTGGTTGCTAGGCACTTCATTCCAAACTCTGCTGCCAGGAAGCATGTAAGAGGTCAAAAGCTCAGGCCATTCTGCTCTGCTGTCTTCTCTGCATTAAAGTAACCAGGGTACTTCCAAGCCACAAAGCAAGCTGGCCAAAGACGTGCCCACTCTTCCTGGCAGAGCACTCAGCACAGAGCAAAGGCAGAAAGAAGCACTGCAAAGGCAAGACAAAAGAAAGGCCTTGCCCTGTGAGAGAGAACCTAATTCTCTGGGCTCTCAAGCACAGAAGGCAAAGGGAATTGATTTCTTAGAAACAAAATAAAAGAGCCTAAGCTATGAAAAAAATCAATAACAATAAGATAGATTTACCTTTACCTTAAAAAAATTAAAAGGAAAAATCTTGAGAATTTTGAGAAAGGCATGATTTAGCTTTGCTTTAGGGCACTATCACTGTCTAACTTCATCCTTCCTCGTGACAGGAAGGAGTCTATCAGACAGAGTCCTGGTTCTTATGTTGAAGGGGAAAACAGCTGAAACATTCATTTATTTAGTTTGTAGAAGCTGGTACAGAGAGGGTAAAAGGCAGCAGTTTTTCTCCTTCCTCCTGTTCATCCCTTTGTGCTCAAGCAAACAGACCCAGTGCTTAATGCTGCACCACAGCGGACAGCTTACACTGTAGTTCTGGTAAAAGCAGACTTGTGGTGCATATCCTGCAGCTACACTCTTTCTCTTAGCTGCAATGTGCTATAATTAATAATTATAGTTCTTTATAACGTGTCTTACTCGTGGGCATGTTACAAGGATTATAGAGAATGTTTATAAACTGTGTGAAACAATTCACAAGAAAAGCACTTGGTAAGCTGGAAGCATTGTGGTTAATATTCATAATTATGGTATATGATGCCTAGCACCAGAAGCAAGGATTGCTTATTAGTGTTCTTCTTACTTTCTCCATTTGGATTCACAGAGAGCTATACTTTGAATAGATATTTTCAAGGAGATTTGATAGGCTAGAATTTTTCTGCTATCTTTTCATTATTTTCTCCTTTCCTTATGTTATTTTCTTTTTCATTTAAAAAAATTGATTGCAATACTCCTTTACACTGTTCTGAATTCACCCTTGATTTTGCTCCTCTTTGCTCAGCCTTCCCCCTTCTTGCTGGGTTTTTCTCCCCTTTCTTTGCATTCATCTAATCTGTTTAACTATGTTAAATTTATCTTAATCTTCTGAGCTCAGCTGTATTTAAAAGTTTAGAAAGTAAATGATAAGAGACAACTATGCACAGAAAAAGAAAGTGGCACTGCTGGCCATTTAAGACTATTTTTTACACCTCATACCTTGGCAGAAGACAAAGAAATTCTGTCAGGCTGGTTTACTTTGATTTGAGCTTCTTTAACTATGAGTTCAGCTGGAAGTAGAAGTACAGTAGTTATAACATGGTAAAATTCTTCCAAACCATGTTCAAGTGTGTGTGTTCTATGCATACAGCCCTGAGCACTGGGAATGGCACAGAGACACAATCTCAGAAAGGTCTCTGTTCCCATCATAGTTCTTCCTCATTTTAAATCTTCTATTTGGGGAGGATGGCTCACTGGGTAAGAGTGCTTTCTCTCCAAGGATGAGGAGCTGAGTTTGAATCCCAAGCACCCATATAAAAAGTAGAGCAAGGCTACACATGCCTAAGACCTCAGCCTGGGGGTGGGGTGGGGCAGATCCTGAGAGCTTGCTGGCCAGCCAGCCTAGTTCAAATGGGGAGCTTCTGGTTTAGTGAGAGACCCTGACACAAGGCCATACAGCAGAGTTATAGAAGAAGACACTCAACATCCTATTCTAGTCTCTGTCTGCATGCACATGGGTATATATACCTGCAAACTTACAGGAATGCACCATACTCATACACTAAACACACACACACACACACACACACACACACACACACACAAAATCTTCTATCCGAGCTTCCTCTTAGGCATAGCAA